GAACATTTAAGTATCTTAAGTACCACTATAGGTAGCATCATTTCCATGGTGTTTAATGTAATACATGTATAGACTAGCCCTAACACACAGTCTTTCTCTGACTCAAACCCAGACAGTCTTTTGTGACTCAAAATGTTTATCTTCTTTCTCAACAATGCTACTGCCATTATCATAGTTCAAATCAGTAAAATCTCAGAATTAGAATATTATTTAAAAGGTACTGCTATCTACATGTCCTTCATAACACATCCTCCTTATTTGAAAAGTTCACTCATGTACTTTCTGTATAGCAAACACACACACACACACACACACACACACACACACACACACATTTTCCATTCTCTCTATTAGTACTACTCATGCCTGTCTATCCCTGCTATTCTATACCAGTTTGTTTCTCACATTCAAGTCAATTCATTTTGATTTTTGAAACACTCAATTTAATCTGTGAGACCATAGGTTTTACAAGTATTCACTAGAGCACTGTGGACTTAGCAGGGGGCTTGCAATTGGTGATAATGACTCCACATATTCAGGATGCATCAGCAGCCAAAGATTCAGCAGTAAGAAACACAGTCACATTAGCCCTTATCCAACCCATGAGCGACTGCTCAGCCAAACACTGATTCATAATTTTTCATGAATAGTAAGAAAATTAGTTTTTCGTGTCTCTCTATAGTAATCACAACAGTGTATTATAGCAGTTACTTGATATCACTATCTCCTCCCATTCTCTGAGCTCTAATCTGTTTTGATAACACACATTCTTTTAAATATACAAAATGAAAAACTAATTTAGATTGCTAATGACACATTAATTGTGTCATTACACCAAAAACACTCATTACACCTGAAATAAAAGGAACAAAAACCCCTACTATTTAGAAAAGAAGCCAAAATCATTTTGAAATATGACTGTGGTTTCAAAGAGAAGGAAGCTCAGCTGTGTGATACAGCATGATCGATGTTCTCCCTTACCATATAATATCTGTTACTGTTGAGAAAACTTGAGTGTAGCTTCTTTTTCTCATATACTTCTTATTAGAAGTAAGTGTCAAAGATTCAAAAGGAATATTGCAAATTACATGACTTGCATTCAAAAGAAAAAAGGTAAACTCTTCTGCTATGTGGTTTTATTATCCTGGTATTATGACTGTCCTTTATCCAATTACCTTCTGACAGTTCTATTCAGGTTTAATGCCAACCAACCAGTGAAAATACCATTGTCAATAATCTTCCTAGTTTAATTGGTCTGAATATATCCAAAGCCTAATACTCTGCCCATTAACATTTCAGGAAAGAAAATGGTCTAGCAGCATGCATAGCAAGTATATTCACCTACGCTTGGGAAACACATATCTATGAACTTTAAATTACTATTGCAAACTTCAGTGATTATGGAAATTCATCTTGGATACACTTTCAATGTGCTCAATCACCAGCAAATACACCCACTAAAAGGAGATAGTGAGTAAAACAGTTATTATTCCCCATATATTATTATACACCAGAACTTTTGTTTTTTCATTACTGCATTCCAGGTATGCTGGAGTATGGATTCTTTCAAAAGAAATGAGTTAAAATTTGAAGCACTACAAGTAATTGCACTAGTGGCTTCTAACATATTACAGACATAGAATATATTGTGTTGGTCCTATGTATTCATAGAAGTGCAATAAATTGACTCAGCATTAGCAGAAAAAGCTGCATACATTCTCTAAGAGACAGTGGCTATGGTTCTTTTGGGAGGTTCGGCTACAGAGCATTTAAATGGGGCTTGTGAGCAGAGTGGTACTAGGTGCCAACGAAGACCTGCTGCATCCTTGGAGCTGGGATGGCTCGCAGAGGTGGTGAGCATGGCTCGCAAAGATGGTGAACATGTGTCAACCATGGCATAATGGTTTTTTAATCAGGAAGAACTTTTATCTTGGTTAATGTAAAATTTCTTCTTGGAATATTTCATTGTCCCAGTTAAACTTTGAAGTGTCTTTCAGAAAAAAAAAAAAAAAAAAACAATTAAATGCAATTTGGATAAAAAAAATTAAGTAACATTATTATTTATAAAATATTTGAAAAAGGTTTAGTTTGGGGCTGGAGAGATGGCTCAGTGGTTAAGAGCATTGCCTGCTCTTCCAAAGGTTCTGAGTTCAATTCCCAGCAACCACATGGTGGCTCACAACCATCTGTAATGAGGTCTGGCGCCCTCTTCTGGCCTGCAGGCATACAGACAAAACATTGTATAAATAAATAAATAAATAAAAAAAAAAAAAAAAAAAAAAGAAAAAGGTTTAGTTTATAGTTAGATATAATTGTGGAAATATGTTCTATATAGCATTCACTATTTTTGATCAAATTTTATTTATATGTATAAGTATTCATGTTTCCATATACTCATATATAGATATATCAAAATATCTTCGTATACTTAAAATGGCTGCCTCTCCTGGAATGAAATCCTTTACTGAAGTCATGAGGAAATATACAAACCTGTAAAAGCCTGATTTTTTTTACTCTTGTAAGACTAATTAAATTATTAGAAAAAATCAATTTCAGAAAATTTGTTATATATTACAAAAAAATTTGAATAATTTGTTTTTAAATATTTGAAAGGTACATTTCTATGTTTCATCTTTTCATTGAAAGACAGAAAATTTTTTAAATTTATGGAAATTAATTATAAAAATTAAAATTAATGCAAATAAGAAAAACAATTATTCAATGAGCATTTTAAACACCAGTGGAATTTTTTCCTCTATTATATATAATCTATTTGAATACCACAGCCACAAATTCCTTAAACTAATTAAGGTTGGAGGTATAGTTTAGGGAGAGTGTTGCCCACCATGTGAATGTACCTGAAAAAGAGAACAAATGTATAGAATTTTAATTCAAGTAAATATATATTCTCCAAGTTTGGAGCCTTTCAGTATCAAAACATATTAGCTACTTTTCCCTCATAGAATAATTAGAAGTTAAATAATCAAACTGAGATATAATGTAGTAATGTAGCTGAGAGAGTTGACCAGGGCATGTTGGCACAATCTGGACTATATAGAAAGTTTCAGACTAGCCTGGGCAAGGTAGTCAGAGTGAGCCTCAAAAGAAAAACAATATATAGGGGTCAGGGGAATTCAACAGCATCTATGAGTAGATGAATGCTAGCAAGAGATAGCTTTTGTAACAGGCAGAAAACAATCCTGTAGTCAGTCAGGAATGGTGGTAGATATCTTTAACCCCAGCACTTGGGAGGCAGATGCAGATGGCTTTCTGTGCGTTCAATGCCAGTCTGGACTGCACAAAGAGCACCACCCTCACCAGGGATACAAAATGAGACCCTGTCTCAAAAGTAAAAATGAAACCAACAGAAGCTACTGTGGTCAAATGAGTCAGGGAAGGGCACAAGGTTAGAGAGGCTTCTTCAATGTACTTAATATGCTAACATGTCTTGCAAATCTCTGAGAATTTTATGTTTATTAAATTTAGTGAACTATGGAATATTTTCTTTGTGAAAAATCATTAAAATAATCTCTAAGTAATGTGTGGGAAAGTTGGCAGAATGAAAAGTATGGAGTCAGTACATTAGAGACCTGATGAAAGGAAGAAAAATTTCACAGCAATAAAGGTTGTTTTAGCTAGGAGAGCAGTCAGAGTCTAAGCTGCAAAGGGAGTAAGTATGAGGCAGCCTAGGCCAGAAGGCTTTTAATATTCTTGGTAAGGAAATTTTGTTTAATCCCAGATACAACAGGCGTCCACTGTACACAATAAATCCTTCAGTTATAATAATTAGGACAATGTTTTGTGAGGATTAATTGACATAAAAGGATGAACTTGAGGAGGAAAAGACTACAGGCAGGAAGGAAAATAAGGAGACAACTATAGTAATTCAGCAAGACGTGAAGGGACTGGGGTTTTAATGAAGAGGAAAAAAAATCACTGGAATAATTTAAATAAAAGAAGAACTATCTTTATCAGAAACAGGGCAAGAAATAAATCAAACTTCAGTATTAAAGAAAGTGATACATTTTAAAACAGGTCAAAATGGAGACTAAGCTGGTTTAAAGAAAGGGAAAAATCAAAAATATTGAGTTTGATTTCAATACAAAAGACATGCCTACGGGGACAGCTGGAAATGGAAGACAGACTCAAAAGTTTTGACACCTACTAAAAGGTGATATATGAACATATGAAACTGAGTGGGACATTTATGCTAGGAAAAACAAAGCAGAGAAAAATGCCAAGGGCAGAGAGAACACAGAGATATCTCACAATTGGGGAATGAGAAAATCAGAGAAATCAAGTTCTCAGACAGATGGAAAGGGAAGTAGGACAATACTGAAAGAAGAAACAAAGATTTGGGCTATGGGTGGAAACCTTTCGAGCTTACCAGTGACTTTGGAAGTAATTTCTCAGTATACTGTTGGGGATAGATATATCAGTCGACCACCTACTGCACATTATCTATTTAAAGGCATCTTCTTCAATTTCATATTATCCATTTAAGCCACGAAATGTGCTAAGAATATAGTTAACTTTAAAGTTTAGACATATTATTAAGAACTGTTTGTGCAAGGGAATGTCAAGAAAAATAAAGTGTATAGGTTTTGAATTGAAGGTAGTCTAGATTTAAAGATTTCAAAAAGTCTTTTTGGATAATTAAAATTCATGAGCATTTCTATATTCTTTTTGAAAGAAAATACTATGCACACAATTTTGCAAATCATCATGAAAATTTTATGTCATAAACAGTTCGGCTTGGGTAATGTATTCTGTTAAAATATATTCAGGGCAGTTTGAGTAAATGAAGCCTTATTTATTTCCAAACATTAAAATGATTTACTGTCCTGGAAAAATCATATCTATACTTAGTTCAACTAAAATGTGAAACTTTTAACCACAACCAAAATGTCTGTTTCCCATCACATTTTTCCTTCTGACTAACGAGATAACTTTCTACCCCCAAATTCATTGTGACTAAAATCTCCATTTTGTTTAATTACCTGGGTTCTAAGCTGCTGGATTTCTATTTCCAGTTCTTTGATTTTTTCATCTCTTTTCTGAAGCTCCGCTTGAGCTTCCTGACGAGCTGTGAATTCTTCATCGAACTACAATGACCATCATCATAAATATGCAGTTACTAATACATATTTGAGAAAGATTTAAACAACATTATGTAGTAAATATGAAGCATGATTTTTTTTTCTTGTCTGAATTTACAGATCACTCAGAGAGATAAAGTTCTTGATTATTCTCCTGAAAACTAAGCAGTCACACAGGGAAAATTCTCTTTGTAAAAAAAAAGTAATGGAAAAAAATGAGTGGACTGTGAAGTCTCTGTTAACATGTATGGAAAGTTTATTGTTAAAGAAAATTCAATTGTAGAATTAATATAGTTTATTGATTATTTGTCCCATTTCTTTAAGCTTAATTAGAAAGTAAAATATAAAAATATGGAAATCATTTACAAACTCTTCATCATATTTAATCTTCCTAATGATTACATTTTTGCAATGATCAGAAGTATGTACATTACATAAAATGGACTGGGGGATTATTTCTGTTATAATCTTCATTGCTTAGAATTCAAAACACAGAGCTTCACAATATCTGACATTACAATGATATACACTGAAATTCTATTGTCTATCAGCTGGTTAACAAAAACCCTCTATAAACACCTCAAGAGAGGAAAACAAGGAAAGGAAATACAGTTCAGAGGGCAGAGGTGCTTGCACAAAAGCATATTAACCTGAGTTTGATCCTTGAAACCTATATAATGGAAGGAGAAAACTGAATCTTTTAGGTTGTTCTCTGACTTCTCCACATGAGCAGACACATGTCAGTATACACACACACACACACACACACACACACACACACACTCATGCATGCATGCAAACACAGAGACACTTACCAAAATAAATAAACAATTGCTTACACAGGTACAAAAGGAGGAGAGGAAAAAAGAGAGGGGGGAGTGAGAAGTGAAAATACGGGGTACTGAAGATACCAACTCTCCAAATGGACATGTACATTTCCTGCATCGTGTTTTAGCTTTTACCTCAGTCCTTACTCTAAGCAGACATAAACTGGGCTACATACATTTATAGAAAATGCTGTATAGGTCCCACTAGAGAACATGCCATTTACTTTGTATTGTCAATGTAAACTTTAGTCATTATATATGTCCTAAGATTATCCCAACAATGTTATTTCTGTTTATAAAAGTGATATATGTTACTATCCAGAACTATCTTTAAGGAGTAGGAACTGATGGAGCAGAACATTTCCTGTTAGTAAATATTCATCCCATATTAAACATGACCTTTGTATATTACAGAATGTTATTCTGGTTGGATAAAAAAAAATGTCAGGGCAAATTTTTTATTTCAAACGGTGAAATACTACTTAGCTATGCTTTTATTCATTTCTGTCTACTTGAAAATACCTTATAGGGGCTGGTAAAAATTTATTATAATAGAACTAAATTCCAAAACTACAAAAAAACACATGAGGTAAAGGAGGGAGGAAAGAAAGAAGAAGGGTAGAGAGGGAGAAGGAAGAACACTTGATAATTTGATAATTATATTAAACATTGATAAAATTGTATGTAGGCTTTCATCAAATAAGAAAAAGTCCATCTTATGTATGAATGAAATTACAATATCATAAAGATTGTACTTATTCGAAGCCACTTATAAGCAAAAAATAAAGAAAAAAATATCAAGTTCCAGGAAGCCTAAACAAAGTAACAACATTATTTAATAAATGGCAATTACAAAATTCCAAGAAGTCTAAAGAAAGAAATGAGGTGACAGGAAAAGAGAATGAATCCCAGCATTAGACTTCTATCAGTTCCAATAAGCTTTTTGTGTTGTGGATCAAAATCAGGACCTTGCCCATGCTAGAAGAACATTCTAACCACCAAAATTTGATCACAAGTTCAAAAGGCATAGCTTTAAAAGGAAGCTAAAATTCTCCCAGTTTTCTATGGAACTGTGTGATATAAGTGAACGCTAAAGAAATGCAATGAAGAAATTTGTTTTGGTTGTTTGATTTTAACTATGTCTCCTTTCAGCTAGGTATTTTTATTTCATTTATCATTAAGTAGAATAAGGTTAGTATTTTTTTTTTTACCTAATGAATTAGGTGGATGAGAAGGAAATGGTAAATATCATATCTTATTATGAAATAAATCACTACAATACAACGTTTGATTCTAGTAGTACATAATTGAAAGAAAAAGATATGAAGTGTCAAAGAAACAAATGTGCTTACGGTTAAATAATTATCTATTATGGTTAAATTATCAATTTAAAAATCAAGATTACTATTTTGTCAGTCTTACCTTCTTTGAGAATTCCATTGCTTTTTGTTCACTTTCTTCAACTTTCGCCTTGTTTACACAAGCATCTATTCAGATGAAGCAAAGTTGATTAGAAACAAATGAGATGGAATATCCAGGTAATTATGGCTGAGAGTATATGATTCTGAAATTCTAACATGAATTGTCATTAAAAGGGAACTAGTCTATACTACAATGCACATATTAATACCATATTTTCTTTCTTAAGTATTAAAGCAAAAACCTCAGCATCCATAAATATCTTTGATAAAATTTTCCTTGCAATGATAATTGTTAATTATAATTCCAATTTTACCACTATAGAATTCTTTCTAAAATTATACACTATTATATAGAGAGTGGAGGGAAAGGACCCATATTCAGATAATGAAAACTCAAAATGCTGGGGGAGCAAGTAGCAGTAACATTCACCAATTCAGATTTTCCAGTAAACTCTTTTACTTGAATTCTTATCTGAACAAAAGGTATGTTGTAGAAAGGGAAGAAAATTCAAAATCATTAAAGTCTAGTTAATAAATATAATAGAAAATCCTCTTTAGTCCCATATTATATCTTTGTGTGTTACCCAATATTTCTCCATAGGAAAAAGAAACATGTCTGAATTGCACAATTTTAAAAATTATGTAAAACAGCTTTATTACAATAGGTAAATACTGGAAAGAACTCAACTGGACACCAAGAAATACAAATTGTGTTATATTCATATATGAATATTACTTCGCAATAGAAAGGAATATGAATTATAACATGGATAATCTCAAAATTATTATGATTAATGAAAGGAGACAGACAGAGAGAATATGTGCTACATGACACTACTTACATTAAGATTTTAGAAAAGGAAACTGGAGAGAATAATTAAGCTAAATAAAAGTCAGTATAAGACAGATTAGAGGGTGTGTCTATTTTTAGCGACCACCCAGTATATAAGTAGAGTAAGGTGGAAGAAGAAGAATATAGCAGAAATTTTCAGGAGTAATACAGTTTATGATTTTGAATACAATCATGGTTTTAAGTACACAAGTATTAATACATGTATAAATTTATTCATTTACATTTTTAAGAATAAATACACTTACTTTAAATAAATATATTTACTAGTTATATATACTGATTAGCTTGCATATAAAAATTTAAGTAATTTTTCCACTTAAATGTATAAAAATAGATTTTACAGATTTTTTAAAATTATTTTAGATATATGGGTATTTTGCCTGCATGTATGGGCAGGACAGAAATCCCAAAAAGCAGGCCTCATGTTAGGAATGGCCCAGAAAACATTATTGACAGAATACAGAATTGTCCTGCACGAATGATAGATCATAATATGGCATGTAGTAACACAGTCCCAATTTGAACATAAACATGGTCAAACCTTCACAATCCTCTATGAAAATTCAGCTCAGAGACATTGACAGAGATACACATGCACAGATAAAAGCTATTTTAAAATTTACTCATTGAAAAGCGAGTGGACTTGATGCAATTGATGTTTGTCATTTACATAAATTTCCAATTGCCTAAGTATGGATTACCTTTAGAAATGGAAACTAATATATGAGAAATGATGCTCAATCTCTGACTTCTTTGTGAATCTATCCTCTGTAATGGAGTGAAAATATTATATAGATGGTATTCAACACCTTTTTTCATTAAAAATAAGCAACTTCATGCTTCAACCTAGGCAATGGTAGTTTTGATTAGCTTATAATAGAAATCCCTACTAGAGAGTGAAAAAAATAGCATATTGCAAAATGGAAGCTGATTGTCACTGAACAGACTGTTAACAAAAGTAATTCTATCTGGCATTCTTTAAGTATATAAGGTAATTTCCTTATCATGACATTTCTTTTTTAAAATCTGAGAGCCAGTAGCAACATGTCTATAACACTGAGGCTCTACTACACACACAAATCTCACAATCTTTCTGTGGCGATGGACTGAATTAAAGTATACTAGAGTCATGCTTCTAAAAAGCAAGACATATCCCTATTTAAAAAACCATGGATTTGGGGCGTCATGACAACTGATTGTCAACAAACATGGCAGTGCTGAAATTTATCCAAAAGATATATACGAACTTAGAATTATTATAATAATTCAAAACTAATAATTATAACAGTTGAGTAGCCAGAGCAGCAATGATTTTACCAGATTTTAATAGAAGTTCACTGAGAGACCTACCCTTTAAAAGTGCTCAGTATACAGAAGGTGTGAACCATGAATGGCAGTTAAGAGTATAATCCATACCTATCAGGTGAGTCAAATCAATGTCTAATCTTTGCCTGTACTTGAAGTCCGGGTCCATGCCACTGCAGTGCAGCACTATTTGTGAAACACACTCTTCAATTATTTTATAATACTGTGGCCTGAAAAAAAAGGAGAGAAAATATTTGAGAATACCTTTCTACTTGCATGAATTAATGCTCTTACAAAGGGATTGAGAATGCTAAAATAACTCAGTTTTTTCTTGCACCACTAAGAGCATGGTTCCACTAATATTTACACTCCTTTAGAGAAAATATAGTCAAGGATTAAAGATGGTCTGAATACTAGTGGACCAAATGGAGTGTGATGTAATCGACTGAAAATATGTACTGACTTAACATTCTAGTTTGCAGAGATTCATGCTTGTGTTCCAAAATACTGATCAACTCTATTTAAGGTATTGTTTCTAAAGTTAATGAAAATGAATAACCCCTTATTCCTATATCTATGAGCACAGAAATGGCTCGAGACCGCCACAAGATCTCATTTTCAATAAAAGATGAGTTTCTTGGCATTAGGTGGAAATCAATGTCTTGAATTCAGTGCAGAGCATTTACTCAGGAGAGTCACACAAGTGTACAAAACTGGGCTGAGTCATTTCTATTATGGATAAATGCAAAGACCCTATGCATGCAACATCTTTCTAAAAACATCTATTTTATAAAACCATATGCATGGGTAGAGATGCAATTTGTGTGATGTGTCAAAGGTTTTAAAACACATCATTTTTCTGTAATCTCCCAGGGTAATTCTGGTCTTAAAAATGACCACTGACGGGAAAAATAAAAATAAGGGATATTTTGTATTAAAATTTGTGGAAGACAAATTGTCATGGGTTAATAAATTCAACAGAAGTACAGAAAAGTATTACTTCAGAAAAATTATGATATAAACACCACTAAATTTAGCTAGTCAACTTTTTAAAACCCCCAAACAAAAGAAAAACAGATTCTAATTACTCTTCTCTGTGTTTAATCATGTGGGTGTTCCAAGAATTAAGAATGAAAAGAAATATATATTGCATGGCTAGGAATTTTATAACTTATCATTAGATCTGGGGATGATTAGTATTAATCCTCAACCTCAATGTGCTAAACCACAATTAGATAACCAAGAAAAAACACAACTTTTGTATGTGAGGGCATGCTCACAAGTTAATATGTGGAATGAAAGCAACTGTCACATACCTCTACCTCACAGAACTACACTTTAGATGAAAGGATGGCATGGACTGTGGAAACAGCTCAGTGGACAAAACCACTGCTGTGCAAGAATGAGGACCTGAGTTCAAAAGCACAGAACCTACGTAAAAAAGCAGGCATGGTGACGCACATCTGTAACCCCAGAATTGCCGGGTGTGTTGAAGGACCACAGGAACTTAACAGCAGTCCTCCAGCTTCAATGAAAGAGACATCGTTAGCCGAGAGAGACAGAGCATGAAAAACAGTTTGACCTCTGGCTTCTGTCTGTTGTCACAGGCATAGAATTATGCAAACACTGTACAAATACACAGAGAGAAAACCTAATCATATACCACACGAGCACACAAGTTTTTTAAAGGATGCCACGTGGCAATTGTTTATCATTTGTTAAGATTTATTGAAAAATAGATACTTCTGCCAACTCATGATTCCAAGTAACTGAATAATCATGACCACTGTACTCCATAATATATATTATTATTTATAGTGGTTTCTAAAAAGCATACATTAGTAGTTTCAACATGTTTCTGTCTCCTCAGCACCAAGATGGCGATCCAATTACTGGAGTAGCCTAAAGAGAAAAATAGCTCTATCTGCTCATTTAGAACTGTCAATTTTTGTTGCTATTACAACGAACGTTTTTGGATCCTTTATTTTTCTAATATTCAAGTAAGTTTTGAGAATTTAAAGAATCTAGTATGCCATAATTGCATACATATAAAAGTTTAAAGGAAACTAAGAGGAACTTGACCTGTCATTAATATTAGACCATGGTCATAAACCTACTGATAATTTCAGTCACAGAGAAACCATGTTATATAGGTTTCCAGGTTCAGATACACCTTGTCATTTTTCTAAAACTTAACTCTATAGGTTATCATTATATTCACTTATCTTAAAAATAGTTTCATTAGACAAAACTAAAATACGTACAATAATATCCTCCTATCTTAAAAGATTGTACATTTACTAAACACTATAAAACAATAAAATGTTACTTGTCAAAATAGGAAGATTTAAAAAATCCTAGCACTTTCAATGTCTTCACTGGGTTATCAGTATCAAGCAGAAAAATTTACTACAGACTCAATAATATATAACAGGTTAATTTCTACTTATATTCTGGTTGCTTGTGTGTACTATATTTACAGGCAGCTATCTTTTCTGGCCCCAGTACAATGAATGAATTATTTTTTAAATGTTGCCTAAAGATGTAAAACCCTTATATTTTATGTACATATAATACATATATTTCCTCGGCCACACTACCTTGTTGCCTTTCTTTGAATTTTCAATTCAAATTATACAAGCAGTCAACTCAGGTATGAACCTTACCTTATATAATAGTCATTTCTGATAAGCAGAAAGTGCTGCAGAATGGATAATAAGTAATTTTCAGCGGCAGTGTCTTTCAGCATATTATAGAGAAGATGGTAGACTTCATTCATATCAGTAGAAAGTGAATAAAGGAAAACATCAAAGATTCTTGATGAATAGTGCATTTATGTCTAAAACAGGTTCATTTTAAAAATTAAACATTCACTGCTTGCTTCCCATTATTGTTACTAAGGATTCAACTTCATGATATACTATTTAAATATATATATATAGCAAAAAAATAATAATCCTGTAATTAGATAAACAAGTCTGAAGGAAATTTCAAAGCAGCTTGGGGGTCAACACTTTTAATAATCAGTCATCCATTATATTGTCAACTTCATATAATAATTAGGACAATTCAAATAGCAATGCCATTGGTGAAATATGTTTTATCTTAATTTGTGTGTAGTTCCGATACAGCCCCTACTATTCTATTTTTATTGTCAGATAAAAGATGTCAGGCAAGTATTCAGCTGTCAAAAGATCACAAAACTAGTTTTATTTTAAATATCTAAATAAAATAAGCCTAAAATTATTTTGTTCATATTTGATCTTTTGAAAATTCCATAGACACTATGATACTTTTTTCTTAGGATATAAAAACTAGTGGAGTAGATGCTCTTAGCAATCTAGAAAAACACTTCAAAAGTGGACTAACATTAAATGTACTGAGAATCTTGAAAGTCCACATAAAATTAAAGTAAAAGACAAGATGCCATCCAACATCTTGAAACAACATTAAATGGGCAGTAGAATTAAATAGACAATGCAATATTTTAAATCCTACATGAGAGTGTTGGGTTAAAGTATCATAAAGACCTTAGATGTCTAGAGAATGAATCAAATGATATCAAATAAACAAAGTTTCTTTATTGATAAAAATAAAAATATTTTATATTAGTGATGTTGCTGCAGACTGTTTTTCCAAATTTTGAAGTAGAAATTATTTCCTATGATAATAACCTTTCTATTCATTGTATCTAAATTTATCCAATACTTTTTGTGTAAGGAGATGAGAAGCATACAGAAAAAAAATAAGGCAAATAAAGTACTAAGAGAGTTTCAAGGAGGGAAATATCATTCTAGTTAGTTTATAATACTAGAAGAAATAAGGTAAGAAAATATAACAGGTAGAAGAGTAAAACTCAGAGGTTACTTTGATTTCTTAAGTGTTTTTCTACTTCATAGAACGCAAAAGTATGGATTTTAATGGGTGGGAAACAAGTGGCAGAACTATGACAATCATATCTTTTATTTCAAACAATTTATCATCAGATACTTGGCACAGGAAGATTATATGCATTGTATTTGATGTCAGTACTTTTATAGTACTTTTACAGTTAGAGGCAGATACTATCTTATCCAACAGTTTTGCTATCATTAAGAAACATAAATATCTGATAAGAAATAAGACATTCATTTCCAGAGAACTATATCATTAAGTGGAGTAGCGTTTAATGAATACATAATGTCTCTTAGCTAGTGTCACATAAGAACTCAAGAACTTTTCCTTATTCTTACTGATAAGATATACTACCTTAGACCCTTAGGCTATAGTTTACTCAAATCCACTGAGCACAGTGTATCCCTAAGCCAGTGAGTCACCTTGCAGATTTCAATAGTCTGAGTACATCATCAAGGCAAAGCAGCACTTCCTCAGCACGAATGTATATCAAAAATACCATCATGGTAGAGTACTAATACAAATAAACAGTTAAAACTTTGTTCACAGACAAGAACTCTATTAAAAATATTATTCTCAATTCCTGCTTTTAAACAGAGGTATAAAAGTAGTTTTTTGTTGGCAAAGGATATTCCATTTCAGCTCGAATGTCATTGAGACAGTGGGATAATTCATTTAGGTCATCTTCTTTGTTCCTTCAAACACTCTCAACTGAATATCAAGCTCATCATTCTCTTTTTCTTTAAGACCCTAATATAAGAAATAAAATTCAGAAACTGAGTGACAATTTAAAAATAGCACACTTGCTAATTAGGGACGGATCAGAATTATTCATTTGAACACAGATGCAATTTCAAATACTGACCCAGGGCTTTGACTTCCTAAAAGAAAGTAAATGTAGCTAAAATTTTGTTTTAAAATGAAAGAACATCAAACCAATATTTACATTGTCTTTCCAGGCCCTAAGATTTGACTATTTACATTAAAATATTAATAATCACTTCTGTAACAATAGCAAAGTCTATAACCAAAAAAAAAAAAAACCACGATTGCTGACAACCTAAATTCAATGCTGCCATTTGAAATAAACAAACTCATCAGAAATCACAAAAGAAATCATGCAGTTAGAACATTCACATGTGCCTCTGGCACCAAGAAAATGAAGCAAATATAGATGAACTGTGTTAATGTAAAGCAAAGTCAAGGATATATTCAAGCACAACAGTCCCAAGTATGGCCTGGAAAATTGTATAAACAAGTTTATTATGAATGATATTTTGTGATTTTAAAGCTAAAAGGTATTAAAATATTTTTAAATCAAGTTAAAGCTAGCCACCATGCCAATCCTTCATTTTTTTCTTAGCCTAATCACAAAATACCAACTTGGGCATCAAAAATTTGTTTTTGTAATACATCATAAACACATGCATTACAAAGCTCTAACAAATTTGCAAATAATAATAATAACAATAATAATATAAAAGTTTGGAAGCATGCCACACTAGAGATTGTTGGGCTTAATATATATCACCTGGAATATCTTTTAATATTTGTCCATTAAGTTGCATCTTTGAAAACTCAAATCGGTAATCACAACTGTGGATGCTCAAGGGTGATACACAAACTGGGATTATGATGTAGGATGTTCTGAGCTGAGCTTGAACTCTAAAAGGAAATGCAAGCAAGGTGTACTTCAAATTAGGTAAAGAAAGAAAATAGGATGCATTTCTTTATTTTGGTTTTCATTTTTATTCATGTAGAACAACGATAAATAGGACGTAATGGTGATTACTCAAGCAAAACGAAACAAAGCACTTTTTGATGTTCATTCTTCAAATCTCCATACTTAAGAACTTGCCAAAATCACAACACATTTAAAAATATAAAAATAAAATTCTCTAACATGTTTAAAATATATTTTAAATGTTTCTATATAATCTCATATAAAGTATATAACAAAAAATTATTTCCACTTACTTTATTCGAAACTAAGAACTCACTTTGGATCTAACTATCCACTGACAAGGGGGTGAGATATTCATTGGAATATAGAATTGTGTAATGCTTATTGGTCACGTTGCTATATGAGCATAGAAGGCAGTTACAAAAGAACAAGTCCAGAACATCAAAAAATGCATTTCAGAGAAAGAAATTCTTCTTATTCTCCTAATTAGAAACAAAATGAATTCAACACTACCATTTACTTACTACCAGATTTTCTTTAAAAAGTAGAAGAGTCTGCTCAACTGAATATTTTCAAGGAAAATAGTAATTGGTTAAGTTGTAATTTACTCAACAAAATATGTCAATGTAAATATAAAACATCCTAAGTGTTCTTTATTCATAATTTCTGACCCTGTTAATATGTTTATATGCAGACATATACATTATATTGATATGTTTTCCACTCAAATATAAAACTCCAAAAGACATATCCATAAATTCTTCATAAAATAAACATTTGATGATTTAAACAAACTTTACGCAGTAAAAATAAATATGACAGACATAACACAATTATGTCACACTTAAGCATATAGTCAAAGGAATGTCAATCTTACTATGGACTTCTAAAATATATAAATTATGTCTGGTTCATGAAAACATTATTTTTACTATGCTGTTCCCTCATATAGCAAATTTACTGATGTACCTAAACAAAAGCCAGGTGCAGAAATTTAAAAATAAATCAATATAAATTATTTCAAGAGCAAATATATCTTAAAAGTCAATAAATTAATTCATTTATATAAAAATACTAAAGAAAATTTATTGAAAGCAAATAATATACTTTCCATTAAACACTAAAACTCTAACCACAGTGGTAAAGCAAATATGAAAATAAGTGTTCACATAATATGTTAAAATTGATTTGTCATGAAGACATAATATGTTAAAACTGATTTGTCATGAAGATTCTGCTAATTACTTCTAAAACTGTCACTGTTCAAAAATATTGTGTTTATTTTAAGATGTATCAAAATAAACTACTTTCCATTTCCCCTACCATTTCATTATATTAGAGAGGTATAATTTTTGGTGTACATACCAATCACTGATTGGCATAACCTAAACAATATCCTTAACCATGCTTAATTCACTTCATTTATTAAACTCTATTGTAGAGAAATAGAGATCCTGCTATTTGAATTATGCAAAAAATAAGGATAAATAAAAAAGAGGCATTTGGAAGGCTTATGCTTAATTTTTAATATATTCAAGATTCAATGGCTACACAAAGATGTTGATTATTACTATATATTCTAATGCTTTACATGAAAATATTCAGGCGATTTGGGCGTTAATTAGCACCAATTGATATAAAAGGTACACCTAGTACATACTAATGTATGACCATTTTATCCTTACTAAAGCGTGATAGCTAAATGAAAACAAAAATAAAGGTAAAGAAAGGTATGGAAGCAAAGAAATTAGCTCGTGTCCAAAAGGCCCATCAGTTTAGATTCTATTTTTCAGCAAAAATGCCAGAGAAGCCTGTTCTCAAAATACACATTACTAACCCACCGTCAATATGATTTTGACAATCTTCTTTCTTTGAGGGAATATATACACTCTCAGCTCATAGGTAGAGTCAATGTTTAGGCATATATAATTTCAACTTCTAAGAGATCTATCTGAGAATCCTTATACGATTTAGCCCAACACTTTAGTAAGAGAAATATGATGCTTTCCATTTTTCACATGCTGGGGAATAACTGGGATCTGAAGCAGAACCTAACAGAGATGTGATAGTTAAAGGAGAATATCATTCCCCATCCAAGAGGCTGTTAACACTAGAGAGCTGCTGGGAGAAGGAAAATCAGTTTTTTACCAATGAAATAATATAGAATATATCCACCCCAGACCATGGCAGGTCCCATGCTCAGGAATGGTCAGCCAAAACAAACCATGTTTCTGGAAGTTTTGATGTTGTTTTAAAGAGAGAGAAAGAACATGAAGTGGATTATGTAGAGAAATGTAGAAAAATATTGGAGGAGTTGAGGAAAGAGAAAGAATACATTAAAATGTACTGAATGAAACTCTCAAAGCATGAATAAAAACATTATTTAAAAAGAAAGACATTTTCAGAAATTATGCATAATAAACAAAATATAAGGTAAATACTTTGTTCTAGAATATATAGAGGATTCTCAGTTATCACAGATGACACAGACTATGAAATTATTCCAAATATAGTTCAACATTTCTCTAATTAGAACAAACATTCACATTCAATTCAAAAAACGAAATTGTTTCTCTTTATAAAAGTTCCAAAGCAGCGTAATGAGGATACCATTTTTAAGCAAAATATCCCAAATGAATTAATTAAGACTCAATATGCATACTTACACTGACTATAAATGAAATCAATCTAAAGTATCAAAGAGGAAAGCAGAAAATATTTAAAATAAGTCAATTTGCAAATATATATAAATATATCTAACTTACACAGATATATCACAACATTTACTGAATTATGAATCATCATTTATATAACAAGAGTAATACTATCATTATATATAAAGATTCCAAAGTGTCTTTTTTAATTGAGTCAAGAAAAAAAGGACAAATTTGTGCTGTCTTTCAAAAATTGTACATTTGCTTGAAGGGTACAATAAGTTGAAAGTTTAGCAATATAATAAATAGGTATTTTCAACTTACTGGGAGCATTGCTTTTAGTCCAGAACGCAGGAACTCATTTCTCAAATGAATTCGAAAATCAAGATCATATGGAGAAGTGGCAAGTGCATTTATGAACTGCATGCAGGCCACCTACAAAGAAAAAGAAAACTTCACTTATACATTTAGGTATAGAAAAGAAATATGCAAATATGGAGTGTAATATTAATGTATTTTCTTGAATTAGTGTACTTAAGTAACAATTAGAGTTGCCTGAACAATCCAAAGTACATACCCAATTGAAAATTAATAGGCAGAAAAGTTGTCATCTGCTAGGATTCCTTTAACCAGAAGTAATTCTAGCTTAATGATATATATTAATAATACTTTATTAGTAAAGACTTCTAAACAGGATGATCAGTCTTGGAACAATATCTTTATAGAAATATAAGTAGTTTGTTAAGGCCATAAAAATAGTAAAAGTTATATTTACTGACTACATCAGTATCAATATGATAGTATATATTATTACTATAAACATATTATTGCTATTAAGAACTTTGTATATAACATATAAAAACATGGCTGAATATTTTAAAAAGAAGTTGAACACAGAGTCTACCATATAAAATAATTAGGAGATGATTTAAAGTCAGTAGTCAAACAAGGAAAGATAACAAAAGGGCCATTTATTGCTCATCAAATTCTATAAGGTATCTCATTAGTAACACAACAACTGCAAACTAAAACTGCTAGGGTGTTGAAATAGGAGCAGCGGGACTATGCCCTGCCACCCAGCCGCCCGCACAGCTAGCTTTACCCGAAATAATTACACGGAAACTATATTCTTTTAAACACCACTTGGCCCATTATATCTAGCCTTTTCTCGGCTAACTCTCGCACCTGGACTAGCCCATTTCTTATAATCTGTGTAGTCCACGAGCTGGCTTACCAGGAATGATCTTAACCTGCATCTGTCTGGAGTGGGAGAATCATGGCGACTCCCTGACTCAGCTTCTTTCTCCCAGCATTCTGTTCTGTTTACTCCTCCCACCTATGTTTTAATTTATGAGGGCCAAGCAGTTTCTTTATTGCTTAACCAATGAAATCAACAGATTGATATATGACACTCCCACATCACTAGGGAAATACTTTTAAAGACATATTCACTGGTAATGTAAGAAAAAAAAGTAATTTGTTGCATCTATGCTACCATTTTGTCTTTCTGATTATAACTTAGGAATTAAAAAGTAAAATTATCAAAAATATCTTAAATTAAAATTTAAATAATTATTTCAAGAAGCACAGCACATTATTATGAAATGCCATTGTGAGGATCCACTATACAAAATACAAATTTTGAATGCAAGAGACTAAACCCTTATCATCTCTACTATTTAATTTTTATGAATTACTGGACAATGTATAAGGTCCTTTACATAATTTGTTATCTAAAGTCACTCTCATAGAAAACCTGAGATGAATGTTCTAATAAATTTATTTCACACATGGAAAAAGTGAAGCCAACAGCAAATCAATAACTTATACACAGTAAAACGCAAAACACAATTATATTTCTACATTATAATATTTTACTACAAAGAAAACAATTCCAGAACGCTTCAGAAACTCCACAAATAGATTCATGCAAGAAAAGATTTTAAAGCAGTATAAGACGATAAAATTTATCTGTTGCATCATGTTGAGTTAACCAGGAACAACTTCATTATAGCTATACATTAATTATAAAAGCATTAAATGAATTTAACAACATGTCTAGAACAAAAAGGAGTTATCAAATATATAAATGAAAAGCAAATAAAAATAGCGAAAGTAGAAAATGATGCTTGGTTTGAAGTATATCCCATTCCATATACATCCTACGAAGTAACAAATAGAGAGCATCCCATCATCCAAATTAATTGTTTCTCCTTCCCTTTTGCTGGCTGCCAAGATGCTCTAGTTTCAGTGTCAATGTACATACACAGACAAGTATATTTGTATATGTTCAAATACTACACTACAGAACTCTACTATTCAAAACAGGTTCTTTTAATAATAGATTAATAGGAAGTAAATCAAGAACTCGACGTCACTAGCTATAGTCCAATGGCTTGAAAAATACATATAATTTTTAGGTCCCACGTTGGACAATATGGATAAAGAATACTGCAGGAAATTTAATTGAACAACACTGTATGGGAAATATTAATGAACATAGGTTCTGGCCCTTTAGAGCTGATCTTGAAATAATTACAAACCTCATTCCCAAACAATGAAAGTTTAAAAACTTTGATGTTCATCTTCCAAGAACATAACTCTTTAAAATGTAACAGAACAATAAGTTATGTTACAAAACAAAATATTTCTGCTTTTAAAATAATCCATCTTCAGAGAAAGGAAGTAAACAAGCTACAATACTGAGGCCCAATTTTTCCAACTATGGGTAAAAAAAACAAGCTCATAAAAATGAGTTGATCTCCTTGAGGTCACATGGTTAATAAGCCAAAAAGAGTGGACTAGAATCTCATACTGTAGTACTGTAGTCTTTCGACACATTACAATGTGACAGCCTAGCATTGTTAAATACAATTGATCTTTATCTCAAGCCAGAAAGAATATAAATGTACTTGAATTAAATATCACAAATTCAGATATCCAGATTCTTCATTTTTTAAAAAATTTGTAAAATTGCTTTTACTTTTAAATAATTCCCCATGTTTATTCACTCTTTTTAATAGAGAGTCAATGAGAAACAAAGTGTTAACAAAACCAGAAAGTCAGTAAATTTTGTTCATTGAATAGAAATGTTCAGGTTAGGGCCATAACTCATACGCTAAGCCAGTAAATATAAGTAGTGCCTGTTTTAATAGTTTTTGACATATGAAAATTTTATATTACCTACATCTTATGCATGTGCATTTAATAAATATCACATATACTATATATTTATACTTGCTTTTGCATAATGCATATAAAATAAATCAATAAAATGAAATACATATGAGCATCTTCAAAAAATAACTGTGAAAATAAGAGAAACTTTTATTTATTTTATCTAACAGGTTTCACAAACTGCAAACATTTGTCTGCCTGTTTGATCACAATTCATAGAGTTATGGAGTACAGTAATTGCCAACTCTAGGGCATTCTCAGACAGATTATCCATACTGCCATTAGCTGTGACAAATTGTGCTTTTAAAATTTTATTGACATTGTCACACATTTGACTTTATTAAGTGCTCTGTTGACATTAACAAGGTCTTTCTTTATTTTAGCCACAGCAGGAGTTAGGGAAAAAGATGGTTTAAGACTAAGTACTTACCAAAAACTATACAAACATACAGTGCAAGTTAATTAAGTCAAGAAATGGAGAAAGATTTCTAGGAAAAAGAAGTGATTTAAGTACAAAGGTACAACAGGTAGAGGGAAGAAAATGCACAAAATGTTCATAAAGCACAGTGTAGTGTGACTACATCAGAAAGTATACGCAGAAGCCTAGTGAAATATACAGTTAAAGAGAAAGCAGTAAGCAGAGTACAAAGTGCTTTGTTTATTCATTTGGGAAGGAGGGACACAAAGACTAGATTTTAAACCTAGAGGATATAAAAAAGCCTTTGAAGGAAATTAAGCAGTGATGTGACAAAACGGCATGTCACAACAGTCACTTTGTGAAAGAGGATTTAAAGGGTTAACATAAAGGGTAGAAGATTTTTTTTTTTTAAAAGTCAGAACAAAGTCAAAAATAAAGAGGAGAATTCCCTGAAATTAAAACAACAACAACAACAACAAAAACTGGCAGCAGCGTAAGGACAGAGAGACACTATGCCTAGAAAGATGTAAACAGTTAACATAGTAGATTCCAGCATGAACTACTAACTATAGTAATACAAGAAATATATAGTAAAGGTAGATCTAAAATTAACTATTAGATTTTTGGTGTATATTAGTTGTTACATAATGATCAGGAAAAACTACAAGAAAATGGTAGGTCATGGTGGGAGAAGGAATTAACAGCAAAATGAACATAGTTAAAGGCAATACAGAACTTGAACTTATTATGTTTGAAAGGGACAAAGGAATGGGATGCAAAGAGCCTAGACAAACATATCTTTCTGAAGTCAGAAGGAGGGATAAGACAATGGAAAAACCATCAAAATGAGAAAAACAAACCAAAGGTTCCAAGATAAAACTTTCTCTCATTTACACTTTGATTTTAATTTCCATAGGTGTATATGGAGATTCTGAGTTCTTGTTTTGAAAGGGGGGGGGGGGGGATGCTGTAAGACAATGGTCATATGCCCTAAAAAGATTAGTCACTTGTATTAGTTTAACAAAATGCTGATTGGCCAGTAGCCAGGCAAGAAGTATATGTAGGGCACCCAGAACAGGAGAATGCTGGGAAGAGGAAAGACTCACTCTGCAGTCATCACCCAGATGCAGAAGAAGCAAGATAAGAATTCCTCACTGCTAAAAGTTAACAAGCTGCAGGGGTTATACATAGGAAGCAATCTCCTGTGCCCATCTGATCTTGGGGGTGGGGTTGGGATAGGGGTGAGGGGAGATGGGGAGAGAGAAGGGAGAAGGGGAGGATAGGGGGAACTTGGGGAAAAAGAATGATTGGGAAAAAGGAAGGTTGGATAGGGGAGCACAGAAGCACAATTTTTAGTTAAGGGAGTCACCTTAGGGTTGGCAAGAGACTTGAAACTAGAGTGGCTCCCAGGAGCCCAAGGCGATGTTCCCAGTTAGTTCCCTGGGCAGCTGAGGATAGGGAACCTGAAATGACCCTTTCCTATAACAATACTGACGAATATCTTGCATATCATCATAGAACCTTCATCTGGCGATGGATGGAGATAGAGACAGAGACCCACACTGGAGCACTGGACTGAGCTTCCAAGGTCCCAATGAGGAGCAGAAGGAGGGAGAACATGAGCAAGGAAGTCAGGACCGCGAGGGGTGCACCCACCCACTGTGACAGTGGAGCTGATCTATTGGGAGCTCACCAAGGCCAGCTGGACTGTGACTGAAAAAGCATGGGATAAAACCGGAATCTCGGAACATGGCGAACAATGAGGGCTGATGAGAAGCCAAGGACAATGGCACCGGGTTTTGATCCTACTTCATATTCTGGCTTTGTGGGAGCCTAGCCAGTTTGGATGTTCACCTTCCTAGATATGGACGGAGGGGGGAGGACCTTGGACTTTCCACAGGGCAGGGAACCCTGACTGCTCTTTGGACTGGAGAGGGAGGGGGAGAGGAGTGGGGGGAGGGGGAGAAGGCTGGGAGGAGGGGGAGGGAAATGGGAGGCTGGGAGGAGACGGAAACTGTTTTTTTTCCTTTTTGTCAATAAAATAAAAAAAAGGTAACAAGCTATGTGGCTAATTCAAACAAGAATAATTAGTTAATGTAAGATGTAAGAATTAATAAGCCTGAGCTAATAGGCCAATAAGTTTGTAATTAATGTAGGTCTCTGTGTATTTCTTTGGGACTGAATTGCTGCAGGGCCAGGCAAGACAGAAGCCTCTGCCAATATGTTCCGTATACATGCTTACATTTACATATATATATATATATATATATATATGGCTTGGGACTTAGTTTATTGACAGTTATCTGAGCTTTAGTAATTTATTAAACTTCTATTTAGCTTTTTCTCACTGCCAGACAGTGTGTGGTTACATTTGGGAATCTGAATGTATGGGCTGAGCAAAATAATGTCTTCCAACCTTCCAACTTGTGTCCTTAGACTGCCATGAACAGAAATCAGAAATTTATTCTCAATAAGAAAATGCAAGAAAAAAGAAAAACAGAAAGTTAGGTTCTTATTAAAGGCCAACAGATGCTTCTTTATAGAAAATTAGTTTGATAGACTTGATAATTTCAATGATGGCTCAATGTTTGACTTGTTACTTTCATTTCATTTCTGATCCTAATTTATATACCAGGAGGATAACTATACCAAGTACGTGTGGTATGCCTGACTGAAGCTATCATATTTTATTAAAAAAAATATTTGGTGAAAGGCTTTTTTGTATCATTTTTAATTACAAAAGAAGACTTTCTTCATTATTCTGAAACAACAGAAAACAGATTAATATGTAACAAATCATGTTACCATACTTCTCACAACTCCTGAAATCCAACAAAAACATGACAGCTTTCTGACTAGTTGTAGTCTTGGAAAATGGGCTATCTTAATATATGCTCACTGGATATTAATCATGTTACTTTCTCTACCCTTAAAAGACTATTAATGGTCAGTTTACTTTGAATTTTCCTATCTTACTACATAGAAATAAAGTTCAAGGGTATGCCTGTATTATCTTCTGTCTTCTTTTTAAAAATAACTGGTAGACTAAGGGGCCATTATTTTTACACACTACAAACCCTTCTTGCCTCAATTCTAATTTAATAGTGCTTCTCTATTAGAAAACATAATATCATTGAAATTCTAATCTTTCAAGCCCAACTTCAAATAACACCTCATCAGATACTACTCCTATAATTCTCAAATTTGTAGTGTAAGTTATATTTTTGGTTATGAGCCTAACCTTTAATGGCAGAGCCATCTCTCCAGCCGACTGCAGTGTAATTTAAATGAGATAACATATGTAAATATTTTGTAACATTACGTAGCATAGCACTCAAATGATATTTTTAATTTGTTACTTGTGGGAGTCCTATAACAAACCTATTTAGGTACTCAAAGACATGAATTTGAATAGGGAGAGAAATGTGACTTTCACATGTATCAGGAGATTTGCTAGAATACAGTTATATATTAAGCTAGGGAAGCAACTGAAAATATGCATTGACAAAATATTTATTTATATTTATGAGCACACACATGTTGGTGAATATACACATCAATATATAAGTAGATGAATGCAAAATGATAACTGGTAAAGATGAGTGATAAAAATAGGGGAAATGTTCCTGGGAAATCAGAAGAGAAAATATGCATTAGAAACATAGAATAAAGAAGGGTATTCAGAGATCACACAGAAAAAATGGTGAACAGAGAAGCAAGAGAAGTAAAATTTTCAAGGAGTACATGTTGATGAATGGTGACAAGCATCACAATTGGGGAAAAAACTGGATTTTGAAATTTAGAGTATCATTTAAGATTTTTTAAGGATTGTATAAAAGCTCAGTTGTGAAAAGTATTTTAGAAAATAACTGGAGATTATTTTTTTAGAGACATGTGGTACAAAATAAAAAGGCAGATGAAAGTCTACTAATTTTAAAAATGCAGGTCATACAGTGTGGGAGATCAAATAGTACAACGAAACAGATAAGGTAAGGCAAGGAAGAGAGTACATATGTTGATGTGATTTATCTCCAATCTTTTCCTCAAACTACTGAAAAGCAATGAAAAGCATATCATAGCTGAGCTAGAAAACATCTGTTAGAAAATGTTGGTTTAAAATATAATTAGTTCAGTATTTTAACAGAATTACTTCATGACATTCTAATAAGAGGTCTCAGGACATTACCAAAAATAGAAAAGTAATTCTGTTAAACTAGAACACAAATTACGTTTTTTAAACAACAGATTTTAACTTTTGTTTTTAATTTCAGAATTCTGAACATATTATATAAATTTTACAGGATAATTTTCCATTCACATTAAATATGCCAAATAACCCACTTCACGATTCTTGGGAGACTACTAGGCTCTGTATATAACAAATTACTAAATTTTGCAGCTCATTAAAATAGGAAATTTCAAATTGTAGTTTGCATATGTTTGCATCCATAATCAGTATTCAACAATTTCTTGAATATTTAGCAAGATGTCTATGATTTTTCCATATGGTACTTGTTAAGCACTTGCTACTTAATCATTCTATTCTGTGCAGCACCATTGAGGCTAGAGAATGACAGTAGTGTTTCATTGTCTGAGGTAATAGACAGTGGGAGAAATCATTGTAGAGTAATTTTACTCAAAAATGACAATGGTATTTATTTATGGAGGTGTTACTATAATGGACATACAATTCTAGATGCATATATCAAAAAATTGAAGTTTAAACCATTACTCTAAACTTTAACAGCTGTGCGATTCTTAGAAAACTGATCATTTAGCCTCCCTTCAACTCAGTCTCCTGATCACTAAACTGAAGATAAATTATAACACAGAACTGTGGCTAAAATTTCATTTAAATATTTTTAACTGCCGGGCGGTGGTGGCGCACGCCTTTAATCCCAGCACTCGGGAGGCAGAGGCAGGCGGATCTCTGTGAGTTCGAGACCAGCCTGGTCTACAAGAGCTAGTTCCAGGACAGGCTCCAAAGCCACAGAGAAACCCTGTCTCGAAAAAAAAAAATTTAACTATGCAAATGTTAAAATTTGTCCCATATATGTCAAATTGTTCCCAATTCAATGAAAGCTTTAACTCTAAATAAAATACTTGAGTCCTGCTAAACTTTGGAAGTAAATTACAGGCTTATATGTATGTCTGCCAGTGAAAGGAATCTAGTCAGGCAAGCACAGGCAACACAGCAACGAAGATACAACACTGGAGAAGACATCTGAAAACACACATTTCAGGCTTTCCCTAGAAAATACCAAATTTTATTGAAGCTAAAACTAATAATATGAAAAACTGTCATAGATAGAAAAACACTAAAGGGAAATTCTCAGTTTTAAAAACACCAATATATAAGATAAAAGTTCATCAATATCCTCATCATAGTTGAAGGAGAATACCTTTAAAACATCTTTACATATCTGAAGAAACATTATATGCAGTTTCATAATATTATAGATTCTCTTTAGATGAGCCAGTTCATCTGTTGTACAATTTCCAACTGTGACAGAAAATGTTAATACTTCAAAACACAATAAAAAAGAAAAATCATTAGTTTCCCATCAAATACAAAATTTACATGTATATACTCACTATAAAATAACTTGAAAATTAAATATAGAGGCAAACTCTCTTTGAGTGATGACATAATACTTTAAAAGATATTTCATGGATTATCAAATGGTATATACACTATCTAAAATAAAAAGCACATTGATATAAAATTCTGGCTCTTGCACACCATGTCCATTTATACAAGCGATGTAATTTCATTCTGCCTATCCTCGGGATAGAGAAATATATAACAATTAGGAGGTTCATCTCTTACAAGAATTAAATCAAATTATGTAGGCAAAATAAAATGTGCCATCATCAGAATGTCTCTTGTCTCTAAATATGGAGAATAAAGATGACTTCTCATCCCTTGAGACTAAAGTAGCCTTTAATAAAGTAAGACATATCCTGAAATCACTAAAAACAATGGATTTTGTCATTTTTAAAATTAAACACATTTAGTCTGGGTCTACAGAATTTTCCCAGGATCCCTGACAAAAGAGATACTATTCAATCCCCTCTGCATTGAGGAGTCAGATTTCTAATTGATGTTTGAAAGGCACAAAGAGAAAAACATCAAATTTTTTAAAATCTGCATCTTGGTCGTCTGTAACCATCTGCCTAGGACCTTGAAACTCTCCTGACTCAGATATCTGACTGTTAAAGACTATCATGCTATGACGCCATAGTTGACTATTCTCTTACATTTCTACAAAAGCTTACAAACTTTATTAAATTGGCCAGATAGTACTGACAGAAATGGTTTCCCTTTGACCCAGATTGCTGCTAAAACTTTAATTTCCCAATAGTTATTATAATACATGTCATACTAGTGATAATGAAGAAGCAATTTTCTTAATTTTAAATGAATTTAAATAAACAAAACTGTAAAACACAAACAACTATACATTTACATTTCATTCTATAAATTCCAGCTTAAAATATGTAGGTATAAAACAAGTATTCAAAATACAACTCAAGTGATTCATGACAAAAGGACCCCACCTGGAGTTGTAGGGCTTCGTGGTTTTCTAATCCTTCAACAATTGATGAAAATCGTTCTCTGTTATTTCTTTCAGCTGCAGCAGTGATAGCCCCTAAAAGTTTGTCTAGACTACAGACAAAAACAAAGAAAACAGAAATGAAAAAAATGTATGTTCATTCTCTATTTGATTCTTACTTCTTGATGTTTACATAGACCATTTAATTTTTCACATCACTTACTTTTAATAGACAAAACTTTCAAGCATTGTAGTATGACACATAATGTTTTTAAATATCTCTGTTATGAAAAAGCTAAGTGGATCTAATTAACATACACATCACTCCACACGCTAATTTTTTCTGTATGAGCTGTTTGTGTTTCAAACATTTATCTACAAACTTATATTATGTTTTCTTTTTATTGAGTATGTTCATTTCATGTTAAGTTACCATATAAAATAAAATGCAATGATACAATATTACAAAGGATCTAGCTGATTCAAATGAACAAGCAAAATTGTAGTCTATAGAGGTGGGTTAGCAGTTAAGAGCATTGGCTGCTCTTCCAGAGGATCTTGTAAAATTTACAGTGCCCACTGGTGATTCACAATTATCTGAAAGATCTCATATAGGAAACAAAACTGCATAATGTGCCACAGTGCGTCTATGCATGCATTGTACACACAAGTGCATGTACATGTGTGTGTATTTGCTGTGTAGTGTCTACTGTGTCTTCTGTGTGTTTCCTGTGTGTTTCCCAAGATAATTTTTGAACATAACGCATTTGCAATTGATTAATGTTATTTTCAGTGAGACAAAATCCCATTTATTTATTTTATATTAATCTTTAACAAATTTAGAATACATAATATCCAAAAAAAGGGTAAAATACATAGAAGATAATAAAGATGTCAATTTAAAATGTTCTAAGCTCTACTACTATTTTTCTGGAAGTTATCAAAAAGAAAAGACACTAATTTCCCAGGTATCATTTTTCAACACAATAAATAGAACATATCAATACTTACATGTTCTCTTCACCAACAATGCAAATAGCAGAAAGTATTTTTACTATTTCAGTCATCATGTTGGGTTGTTTGGGGTCAATCGCTCTTGCCAACAATAAAAGACTCCTCTCATCACCTAAAATCCTTTGCAGTCCAAACTAAACACAAAGAAGTAAATAAACAAACAAACTTGAACTGTGTATGGAACATATTTTCCATTTAGCATAAACCCAATATAAAGAAAATTTTCAAAAGAATACCTTTGCAGTGGTGTTATTAATATAATTATGTAAATTATCCTTAAATGCAGTTATTCAGTTTTATTTTATTTGAAATGACTATATTTTGGAAATTTTGTGGCTTGAATAAAAATGATTTCCATTAATCTTCAAAAAAATTTGAAAATATTTAGGAGAAAATGGCAACAATTAGTATTTCTCTAACAAACAAGAACATATTGAACACATACTGCTATATTTTTTAAAGCAGTTTATGTCATGAGATATACTGAGGAAAGTCTGGAATTTGTGGTTAACTTTTCCAATATCGTTGCACCGAAAATTAAAGTAAACATAGGAGGCAAAAAGGCTGAAGTGCTTCAAGTATACTATATGCTATGTAATGCAATAAAAATAAGATATGGACTTTCTCCTATTTTTTTTTGACCTTTTACATCATGTCTTAGGCAGCAACATCATGGACTCAGAGACATAGCATGTGAGTTTTCTTATATACCACAGTCAGATGGGTAAAGGCGATATCAGTTTCATTTCTTTTCTAGCCATGAACCCAAACGTGTATCTACATGCATTCACAAATGCTAATAGGTAGATATTCAAATACAAAAATTAATGTTAAGATATTGTTCTTTCTTCAACTTTGTGTTATAAAGTATATTTCTGCTTTCTCATTAAAAGTTTGCTTCATTTTACAGTAGTTCCATGGCAGCATTACATTTCATTGGGAAATATTACAAGATAACATTTAGGATACATATGAACTGCGTGAAGGTTTTTAATTTAAATTCTAAGAGGAAGGGGGGCCAGACTAAACTTTGGAAATATTACTTTACGGTGGGCCTTAATAAATAAAGGAACATGCAGACTTTTCTGAATTTAAGGGACATTTAAGTCATTTCAGATGAAATTTACCTTCCTCAAATTGGAAAATGTGTTCCAACTTAAAAATGAATATATCTCTATGTACTTTCTCTTCAGAATGTTTGTTTTATGAAGTTTCACATGTCTATAATTTAAAAGACTCATTTATTAATGTGGTGGGGATATATATCCAAACCATACACACAGCTTAACAAAAACTCCCATTTAGTTTAGAATAATTTAAGTAAAATCATCATGTTCTTCAAAACTGCCAAACACATAAGAAAAAGAAAGTGAGTCGATGTATCTGAGTATCCTCTGTGGGAATAGGGCCGACAAGGAAATCCTAATATAACTTTCTTTAGTCAGTATTCTAATTATAATTAGTTGTTATCCTACAAAACTATGATATTTGACAAGATGAATCAATAAGAGTGTAGAACAAAAGTTCCCATAGCTGAAATTACAGAGAAGGAGACTGATTAGCCAGAGTTATTTTTCAAAGGCCCAGTCTGCTTAGGAGTGGCAAAATGTGATCTGCATCTCTGATATTTAGTACTATATTCTCTTTCTATAATGTTACTACTTTTGTCAGTTGCAGAAGGGATCCACCTTGAGCTACAGAGAAATAATGTACAATTAAGTGTATCTTTGTTAGGCATTAGATACCATGATGTGTGGTATCTAAAGGCCAAAAGGACAGAAGAAAAATTCTTCTGCACTAGTAATGACAGGAGTGTATCTATAAGAAACTTCCAGATGGGTGAGAAAGATAGCCCAGGGGATAAAGGTACAGGATAAAATGCCTGAACACCAAAGTTTGATCCCTGGAAACACATGGTAGGAGAGAAGTGACACCCTCAAGAATGTATTGGTGCTTCATACACATGTATAATTAACTGTAAAAAGATAATCGACTTCCAGAAATAGCAGTAAAGATATATGTGATGAAGGAGTTCATTAGCAACCATGTACTGCATGTACCAATAAAATTATTTACTGATTAATATGGGTATATGATATAGATAGTAATATATAATTGCATATACCAAAGAAATAGTTTTTATATTACTTAAATATACGGTATTATTGCATTGGTTATTAATAGCTAGAGTTCACATTTAGCAAGTTCCTGCTTATTGCTATACTTACATACTTTTATTAAGTATTTTGAGATTATTAAAATACCATCTAAAGGTAATTAATATAATTAAGCAAATTAATTAGAGTAATTTTATCTGTAGGTCTCCACAAGATTGTATAATACAAACAGTATTATAAAAATACAAAAATGTAAGCTATTTTCCACAGAATACTTTTACGCATGTTAAATCACTGAAACTGAAGTAACATTCTTATCAAAATAGTTGAACCATATCCCTACCCTTGAATTTTCCTTTTCAATAAACCGAATTAAACTTCTTTCTTTCTCTAGAAATGATACCCAATTTATTACATTTAAATTTCCATACAACTAGAGTTTATAGGTTTTCCACGTATAGAAAATCCAGGTTCAATTCCCAGGACCTACATTAGGCAGCTCAAGCTTATAGCTTGAGTTCTATGAATCTGATTCCCTCTGACCTCAAAGGGCAACTGCACACGTTATGCAGATAAACTCATCTAGCAACATGTACACATAACCAAATCTTTAAAAATAAATAAAACTGCATAATATCACAAAAGGGAAAATGTATCATCAACTTTGAAAGCTAAACTAATATTGTTTGCATAATTGCAAAATATGCCAGCAAATATTGTGTGAAAGAAAAGACACTTAAACCACTTATAGAAAACTTGTGATGAACTGCATTATAAACATATTATTAAAACTTGAGTAAATACCCACTGTTCTATGTCTTTATTACTTTCACTCTGTCAAGCAAGCTCTTCCCTTTTGTAACAGAAGGATAAGTAAATACTATTTACCTTATTATTCATAAATGCCTTCAGGCACTGAATGAGTTTGTACTGATTCTTCTTGTCGATATTTTCTTGCCTAAATCAATAAGAAAAAAATATTGAGTTGTGCTTAAATCTTTTCTTATGTGTGAAAGGTTTTAAATGTTTATTCTTACTGTTTTTTGTCCAGAAGCTTTTCCAGGACATCCAGTAAAAGTCCAAGTCCTTCATGGCCAAAGTTGTTAACCCAGCTGCGAATTTAAAAGAATATATAAGCAACTTCAAATATTTAGTACATTAGATATTAAAATTATAATTCTTTGTCTTCAAATATGGTAATCCTGCCTCACTACTATAGTCTGTTTTATTTTCTTTACCCATGGATAAAAGACTTGACTCTGAGGATGACCCTGATATCATCGTCCAAATCCCTGACCTCTTTTCATGGCTTCATCGCTTATATATTGCACTGCATCAGATAGTTCACCAGCTTCACATACTTAAGCCAGAATTTATGAGTTAAATTTATCTTCCGTTATTTCCATTCCCTCATATCAACTCCTCGTCCACTCTTCAGTATTCTCTTAGCAACACCATTACCCTTTGACTCCCTCAAACTTGAAAGAATGGTTTAATTGTTTGACCTGCTGTTGTCTTTCACCTTCTCATATTTTCTACTCATTTCATAAAGAGCAGATGAGCATCTACAAGGTACCAAGTATGCATGTAATATATAATGGGAAACGCAACTGAGTTCTTATCCTCATTGAGTCTATTTACCTACAAATAGACAATAAATAAGTAACCAATTATATAAACATCAGTAAGCAAGTAAAATGCCAGGATGCTTGTATTTAATATGTAACCAGGGAAAGATTTTTGATAATGTGCAACCTAAACAAAACAGTAAAGATAAACAGGATTATACGAGTAGAAGTATTATCAGAAAACTGATTCTAAAAATGTTAAATACTGTGTTTGGAATATTCCAGAATCTCTGTAGAAAGAAATCATTTAGTGGGGTTGGACACATAATACAAGGTTAAATCACAGTTGTGTAAGAATACTATACCTTTAGATATCCAATTATGAATGCTTCTTCTTCTTCTAAAATGACTCCTCTAAATGATCCTCGGCGCTTTTCATTGCTACACTAAAAACTAATTTACTACTACTAGTTACATCTTACTGTGGATGAAGAATCCCAGTGGGGTTCTGTGTAGCTTCACTTTTTTTCTTTTGTTCATTTTACATTTAAAAAATCTAACTGATAATATTTAAACAAATTTTTCAGTCCAAAAATCTACCTGGATTACCTCAATAATCCCTTAATCTGACATTTTCACCAAGCTTCAATCTACGTTTCCAGCCAGAAAATTTATACCACAGTGGCCAAGAGAATCAGACAAATTATCATTTCTGAAGTTCTCTCTACACTTCCTTTGTTAGTTTATTTATTATTTCTTCCAAGAAAGAAACTATAATATTATCTCTCAAAGTCGCCAAGTCTCAAATGACTATTTTACACTATTAACTATCTCTGTAGCCCCTGGAAATCTTCAAACAAACATGTGTTCTTCTTTTAAACCCATACATATAATCTTGTCTCTTGATTGTCTAGCATGGTTTTTCTCATATACTTTACTGATTCATCTGGACTATAAATTCCCTAAAGACAGCGCATTTCCTCACTCATTTCTCTATCATACATTGCCCCATTAGAGAAGCTTACATACAATGGCACATATAAATATATGGCATATTTGTAAACAATAAATATTTACTAATTTAAATTTGGGACTTATGTAACCACAAAATATAGGCAATCTTATATTTCTCAAGGATTTTACAAAACTAAATATACAGATGCTTGTAAAATAGACAATATAATATCTACTACATACAGAAACAAATATTAAAACACTGTGGAGAAAATACTAGGCTTCATATATGCTAGGTAAGCACTGTACCACTGTGGTAAATGTACTGCTGAGATATTTCATATATAGTCTTTTAATTTCTTCTGATGGTTAATGAGAATGGTGCTCATATGTTCATATGTTCTAATATTTTGGTCCTGAGTTGTTGGAACTGTTTGAGAAGAATAAGGAGGTATGGCTTTTTGGAAGAGGGCTGTCACAGTGAAGCACGCTTTGGAGTTTCAAAAGCTCATGAAATTTCCAGTTACCTCTCTTTGCTTCATGTTCTGGATCAAGATGTAAGCTCTCAGCTACTCCTCCAGCACCACGCCTATTAGACTGTCAAAATGATTCCTGCCATGAAGGGCATGGATTCTAATGCTCTGAAACTGTAGCCCCCCACAGTAACCTGTTTCTTCCATAAGTTGCCTTAATCATTGTATCTTATCACAGCAATCAAAAGTAACTTAAGATACTGTCCATCTCATATCAGCATATTAAAAATCAATATTTCTCTCAGATTATCAGTGATAGTCATCAGAACACTGAAGAAGGTATAATTTGAAATAGCTGAGATTCAGAACCAGTCACATCCACAATATATATGGAATCTCATTTTAAATTAATGTGGCTTTAATTTTCATAACGGAAAGAAGAAATCAATATGGCATTGTAATGATAACTGGCAATGGGCTATTCAATTGAGGCATGTAATCATCCACTGCAATGAGCTACTTTCTTTAAAGACTGGATAATCAGTGGGGTAATGGCAAAAAGATAAAGAGACATCAGTTCTATGTATAACATGCTGTATTTATCAGGGAGAAATCTGCAAAACTATCATAGAACAATAACCTTAACATAGTCTAAACAAATATATATCCAATCATCAGTATCTGCCTTGACATTTGAGAACAGAAAATTAGTAATTTCCTCAAATTTAACACTTCAAAATAATTTGCAAAATTCTCAGTATTACTCATATTTCCTTTATACCCAGTATCATTATAATTATTTAGATTGTCTCTTTCTTTTGCTAGGAAATTATTTGATGTAAGAGAATGATTTATTTGAAATGAGTCACCCACACATCACAGACTACTTGAAAATGCATGGCTAAGAGCATTTTGATTGATTCATTGAAAATTATTTTTATTCAAATAAAAGATACAATCATGAAACATAATGATAAGAGGACAAGTTTATTTCTTATAACTTATGGAGTACAAAGTCTCAACTGAGAATGCAGCTGGCCCACGGGAAGAGGAAGCCTATTCGGAGTCTTCAGAGTTGCTAAAGTAGAAAGGGACCCCAAGAGGAGTTTGCTGGGAATGAGCTAATCATGATACACCCTGATGATATTCATGAACTCAAAAAGTACCCCACATCCTTTTATTCTCTTCCAGGCTCTCTTCCAGACATTAAGCACTGGGCAGGTTCTAGTTAAATTATCTCTGTGCATTCATTGCAGATAGGTACACATATGCAACAAAACACACAAAGACAAAAGAGACAGGATAAAACAGCTTTAATTAAAACAAAATGTTGGATTGTTTACATGGCAGGGAGTTTTTTGGGTTTTTGTCTTGTTTGTTTTTGTCGTTGTTTGTTATGTTTTGTTTTAAGTCATATCACCAGAAGTAATTGTTCTTGCAATTATGTACCTCAAACCAGCAGCAGCAATATCATTGTGAATGTGCTAATAATTCAAAATATGGGGCCCAGTCTCAGAACTATGGGATCAATCACTAGGGGAGGTGAAATGACAGCAAAATGTATTTTAATGTGATTAAAAGTGATTTTAGTGCTTGGTGAATTTCACAACCAATGGCATAGAAAAGATCTGTTAAGAAGTAGATGAACCCCTTTGGAACAAGACACAGCCTCAGAACTCTAGACTGCTATGTACACCCTCACAACCACAAACACTAACTACCAAGGACACAGAACTGGGATAAAGATGCAGCTGAAGCACTCAAAGCTGACAAGTTTTACAAGGTGTATAAAGTGCAGCTCTTACAGAATATTAATTGAGAAGCTCACATGATACCATTATACCAATGGCACTGCTGGTGGAAGCGGAGGGAAGAAGGAGGGATGAGAACTTGAGGGAACGGTTTGGGCAGGCTGGGTGTAAGAGACAGGACAGAGGGAGAGAGTAACAAAAGAGATATCTTTATAAGGAGCATTTTAGTGTTAGAGATAAACCTGGCACCAGGAAAACCCCCCAAAAATCCATAAGGATAACACCAGCTAGGACTCCTAGCAATACGGAGAGGGTGCCTGAACTGGCAATCTACTGTAATCATATTGGTGACTACTCTAATTGTCATCAAAGATACTCTATCCAGCAAGTGTTGGAAGCTGATGCAGATATCCACAACAAAGTACTGGGTTGAGTTCCTGGAGTCTTGCTGAAGAAAGGAAGGGAAGACTGTATGAGCCAGGGGAAATATGAAGAGGTGAACACACAGAGACCACTGACTTGAAGTCCTGAGAGATTATGGACTCCAGCACAACAGATAGGGAGCCTCAGTGGCACCAACCTAAACTCTCTGCATGTGTGTGACAGTTCTGTAGCTTGGGTTTTTTTTTTTTTTTTTGGTAAGGCTCCTAGCAGTGAGATAAGGCACTTAGATGGCTTTTGAGAACCTGTTCCCCATGCTGGATTACCATGCCCAACTTTGAGGCAAGGTGAGGAGCTTTGTCCTAACTCAACTTGTATTAATTTTTTAAAATAGAATATATTAAAGCTTAAAAACAGGAATTAATAGCAAGCTTGCTGAACTTCCTATGTCAATGATCAAATGAAAGAAAACTTTAGCTTGAATGTACGTATAAAAGAATTTATTTAAAACTAAATCTAAAAGAAAGTGAGACTTTCCCATATCTAATTCTCCAGGACAAAACAAAATGAGCAAAACAATCTATAAATGTAGTTATTCTATTAGAGGAGGGAATGAACTTTTGTTCTCTTCCAGATCTACACAAGAAGCGATCTTTCAGTTTAACAAAACTTCAATGTTTTATCCAGAATTAGATATTTATGCTCAGAATTAGCTCATCACATTTCTGGCAAATGTATTATATTTGGTGGAGAGAGGAGTCTATAATACACAT